GTATACTGCGTGCATTTGAGTACAACATTCTGAGTTCTATATTGCCTGCACCTCTTCTCGTAATTGTCCCATTGTTTGCTGTGCCTGAAATTAGATGCCTGCTCCTTTCCATAATCCCTGTCCAATTGTTCTGCAATCTTATCAATTCTCTAATTGGGGCTGTTAATCTGGTCCAATCAGGGAGCCCTGGCTGACAGATATAAATAGGAGTGTCAGAGATACTGACACTCTGATAGCTGACTCTAAATGACGCAGTACTAAAGTCAAGGACTATTTATGTGTAAATAAAGGGTGACTTGGTGATAGGAGACCGGCCACTGTGGAATTATTTCAGGTTGGAAGCTGAAAATACTAGTATAGCCAAAGGCACCCTGATCTCCTCCACTCAAGTACTTTTTTGACCACTCAGCGGCAGGAAGAGCAGCCTTTTCATATTCATACATCTTTTAATACTCAATATTTTCTTTACCAAACTTTTACAATCATTTTATTTCCTGCTAACTGCCTGAAACCATGGCAAAGTTAACAAATCGATTGCGAAATTCTTTTCCCTCTGACAAGTACATTTGAGCGGATGTTTGAAAATATGTCCAGATGGGGAGCAGGAAAACTGTATCATCATAGAGCATTCATTAAGGGAGGAGGAACTTGTAGCCCATACTGGTGCTAGAAGCGTTCATTGCTGACTCCAAGGAGATGCAGTTCATCATTAACAACTGTTGACAGTGCTGCTTTGTGTATCTCCTGCAGCACAAGCTCTGTCTTTTAAATTCTGCTGAGGAGCAGCATTATCTCATTGTAAGTGGAACCTTATATTGGTTTCATTTGTCCCAGTTTTAACTGCAATAATTGCACTTGACCGAAGCCTTCTCCAGTTCCTCATTGGCTCTCTGTTTGCCAAGCAGTGGAAAGTGCTGAGTTAGCAAGAAATGCTCAATACCAGCAAGGGTTCAAGTGAAGACTTTGCCTGGTGTGTCCTCAGACAGAAATCGCACTACATTTTGTTCACCACACATCATCCTCCAAATCTTCTGCTGAAATGAATGACACAATTCTGCTCAGTTCCACTGAAATATTTCAGGATGGTTTTGTGGATATCAGAGCTAAAGAGTAAGCCAGAATTGTAAGCAGTTCTGGGGACCATGTGTTCAAATCCCACCAGGGCTGATGGTGGAATTTGAATTCAGTAATAAAAAAACCTGGAATTAAGAGTCTGATGATGACCATGAAACTTAGAATGTGGGTGAAACGCTACGTCATTTCATCCCCAAACCTTACAAAAGTAAAACCTCAGACTGATATCACTTCAATTTGGCTGGAACTTTTACAATCTCCAACATGGTTAATCTGTCTGGTGTTGATAGTAGAATTGAGTCATTTTGAACAGTCCTGACCCTTCTTCCAATTCCAGTAAAGTTCCTGACGATTCATATGACAATAGCACTGCCACACGTCCTATTGCAATCCTGCTGAATACCTGTTTTTAGTTTAATCCATGCCCTGATCTAGATAGGAATGATTCAATTCTCATGTTATTTCCAGTAGTAGCAAACAAACGGGACTCAGTCGGGTTCAATTCCCACATTGGCTGAGGTCACCATGAAGGTCCCAGCTTCTCCACCTCACTCCTCGCCTGAGGTGTGGTGACCCTCAGGTTAAACCACAACAGAATGCTGACTTTACTTTGAAATCATTTTGTTCTTGCACTCCAGTTTGACTCTCTCCTAAGCCAAACTGTTACAGAGAAGGGGAGGTTAAATGAAAGAAAATCCTTAATATTCACTTTAAAAGTAGTAAGTAACAATTTATTTATTTGACCCTAATAGTGATCAAATTAACAGAACTACTAACAAACCAAATAATTCCACTTTAACTCCTAACTATTCCCTAACTGAACAAAATTCTAATGGTATGCTGTTCCAATAAGCGTATGTCCCACTTATATAACCCAAGTAGTAAGAAAAAAAATTAAACCTTAGTCTCTCAAAGTCCATACAGAATGTGTCTTCCCGAATTCTCTGCCTTCTCCGCTGTCCTTCTAGTCATAAATCCCTTTATTCTGCTGTTCTCAAGTCATAAACACCTTTCTTCCACTGATCCTGCTGTCAGAGATGTTTTCTCTCTGAAGACTCTTAGAAGTGCCACGGTACCTTTAATGGATAAGATGGTGCTTTCTTAGAGAGCTTAATGATTTCTTGTGAGAGCTAGGTGCTTATTTCTCAGATGGTGGTTCGCTCTCACACCGATTTTCAAAAACCGTGTCCTTATATACCTTGATGTGGAGATGCTGATGTTGACCTGGGGTGGACAAGGTCAGAAATCACACGACAGCAGGTTATAGTCCAACAGGTTTATTTGAAAACACAAGCTTTCGGAGCTTCACTCCTTTTTCAGGTGTTAGTGAGAGAGGTAGTATCAGACACAGAATTTATAAGTAAAAGATCTAAGGTTCACACCATTGATGAGGATGTACTAAACAAACCTAAGATGCTGTTAAATCTTTAATCAGTTAGAAGGTTTTAATTGATTTATATATATACATAAATCTCCGAATTACTTTCAAGTCATGGTCCTGAGAGAACCTCGGGTTTAATTGATTTATATATATACATAAATCTCCGAATTACTTTCAAGTCATGGTCCTGAGAGAACCTCGGGTATACTACCTCTCTCATTAACACATGAAGAAGGAGTGAAGCTCAGAAAGCTTGTGTGTTCAAGTAAAACTGTTGGACTATAACCTGGTGTCTTGTGATTCCTGACCTTATATACCTTGGATGACGTAACAATTTTCTTACAATAGCAATGGTCTGAGGTTGTCAAAACAAGACTTCTGAAGAAGGGTCTCGACCCGAAACGTCAGCTTTCCTGCTCCTCTGATGCTACATGGCCTGCTGTGTTCATCCAGCTCTACACCTTTTTATCCAAGATTTAAATTCAATTGGCTTTCAATCGCTGAGTGCTTGGTTTAAATTAATTGGCTGATTCCAGCTCATTGCCAAAACATCAAAACAAGCCTGAGGTTTCCAATCACACAGCCAACAGATACATGTTTCCACTTCAGAACTGGCTGTACATCTTCAGCTACATATAGACAGTTTTTTTTCTGTATAAATGTCTAAGCTTAGAAAAACACTTTATCTCTTAAAGGGACTACACAACTTCTTAACAATACATGACCCCTCTATTCTTCCTATCAAAAAGTACCAACTCTGTATTGTGAGCTATAAGGAGAGGCTAGAAAAACTAGGTTGTTTTCTCTGGAACGGCAGAGAGGAGACTTGATAGAAATCTATAGAATTATGAGATGCGCAGATAAGGTTGATGGTCAGAATCCTTTTCCCAGAGTTGAAATGTCTAATCCAAGGGGGCATGCATTTAAGGTGAGAGGGGGAAAGTTCAAAGGAGGTGTGAGAGGCAAGTTTTTTTACCCAGAGAGTGGTAGCTGTCTGGAACGTGCTGCCAGGGATGATGATGGAGGCAGGTACAATGGGGGTATTTAAGGGGCTTTTAGATAAGCGCATGAATATGCAAAGAATGGAGGGAAATGGACCAAAAATTAGTTTAGCGTCACGTTTCGCACAACATCATGGGCTGAAGGGCCCGTCCCTGTGCTGTACTTATCCATGTTCTACAACTCATTCCACATTCTGTAACATTATTCATTCATCTGTGATCAGATGGCTTATTGAAATCCTTTGGAACATCCAGATACACCATATCTACCGCATTACCATTATATCTCTACTGCCCTCTCACAAATTCAAGAAGGTTAGTCAAGCAGGATTTTCTGTTTTGAAATCTGTTTTTTTATTGTATTCCTCATTTTGATGTCTTCTATTCTCTCCTTCAGTCAGGATTCCATTCTTTTTCACACTGCTGAGGACAGGGTGATTGGGCTGCAATTCTCCAGCCATGTTCTGTACCCCCCCACCCCGCACTTTTAAATTGTTGGTTATCCACCAGTCCTCTGGTGCTATTTGTTTCTCAAAAGTATTATTGAAGCAGATCTTCTGAGCGAGCTCAGAAACTTTCTTTAGTGCCCTGATTGGACAAGAATATACACACTGACACTGAGTGTGTCAACATTAAAGCCATGTCCCTTTTTCTGCTAACAGGTTCTGTATTCTAACATTTAAAGGACAAGCTGAATAAATGGGTGAGGCGGTAGTGCAACAGAACCCCTTCAGTGTGGAAAGAGGCCTTTCAACCCATTGGGTCCACACTGCTCTTCTGAAGAGCGTCCCACCCAGACCTACTTCACTACCCTATTACCCTGCATTTCCCATGGCTAACTCTCCTAACCTGCACATCCCTGCACACTATGGGGCAATTTAGCCTGGCCAATCCACCTAATCTGCGCATCTTTGGACTGTGGGAGGAAACCAGAGCACCTGGAGGAAAACACATACAGACACGGGGGGACCGTGTAAATTCCACACAGTTACCCGAAACTGGAATTGAACCCAGGTACCTGGTGCTGTGAGGCAACAACGCTAGCCACTGAGCCACTGTGCCGTTCAAATTGATTTAAGTACACATTACACTTCTTTCATGAGAAAGAGTTGTAGAGGCAGCCAAAACCCTGCTGCCTGCTTCTACACAATAGGGATTCTATGATACTTCCTGAGACGCTAGTATGTGAGACCTTTACACTAAAATACAGCTGCAGATGTTCAAACAGCACCACTACAATGTTGGTGAGTTCACTGAGTTGCTGAGTTTAATTGCTCCATTTACTAATGTGTTTTGTCGAATATGTTTCCTGAATATTTCCCTTTATTCAGCGTGATTGCTGGCATGTTCATAACCTTTGCTTGAAAGACAAAAATACCAAAGTCATTGCCTTCAGTAGCATTACACCCATTGTAGCATGCATCTGGTGAGTCATAGGGATGTGAGACTGTTGGGTTTTGTGTATCACACCTACACAAGATTTACAAATGACATTTTGTTTCTCTGCAGTCTCCAGACAAATCGGATGGCAGATTTGTTCCGAAATGTCCTATCCATTGGGAACCTCTGGCCCTGCATTTCCGCTCTCTGGCCCTGCTGAAGCTTCTGTTATGTTAATAAAGCGGGACAGAGGACTACAGCAATATCTGCTAGAGGCAGCATACTCCTACGTTCCTCAGGTATCTCTTCCTCGCTGTACTGGATAGGTTTAAAAAAAAAGTGGGACTCGGGCAGACCCCGGTTCAAAAATGTACTTTGGAGTAGATCAATACCCATTCATCAATAACAACCACTGCAAGGACAGAAGTGAAACTTTTTGATGCAGGCCCTTCCCTATAACCTTCCTGTTATTAATCCTCTGACATCCAAGCAATTTAAAGCAATTTTAGCCACTTGGACAGCAACTCAGTTAGAAACTCGATTCTACTATAAACTAGATTGCAGGTTTTGATGTAACTTATGTAAAGATGTAACTTGGCAGCTACAGAATTAATTAGGAACAAAAACAGAAGTTGCTGGGCAACTGAGGAAGGGCCACCGGATCCGAAACGTTCACTCTGATCTTTTTTTCACAGATGCTGCTAGACCTGCTGAGCTTTTCCAGCAACTTCTGTTTTTGTTCCTGGTTTACAGCATCCGCAGTTCTCTCGGTTTTTACGGGATTAATTAGCTCAGCTGAATGGCTGATTTGTGATTAAGCGATGCCAACTGCATGTTTTCAATTCCCATGTTGGCTGAGGTTACCATTAAAGATTCCCATTCTCAACCTCTCCCCTCATCCAAGGTGTGGTGACCCTCAGGTTAAACTTACCACCAGTCATCTCTCCCAAATGAGAAAGCAGCCCTATGGGACTAAGGGAACTATACCTTTTAACAAGACAACAATACACTTGGAGCTTGCACCGTAAATGTTAGGCAGGTGGTTGGGTTGTGGTCCCTGGTTAAAAACCCACTGAGGCCAAGGCTTCATTAATACCAAATGCCGCAGTCTCCTGGCTGTGGCATTGGCTAGATTGACCTCTTGGTTGGAGGGACAGTAAACAAGGGGCAGGGGTTCACAGCCAGGCTCGCATAGGATTTAATTTCTGATGACTAGTAAATCTCAAAACTTGCATTTATGTCGCATGATACACGACAGCACTGAAGCAGCTTACAGCTAGAGATTTGATTTGATTTATTATTGTCACAGGTACCAAGATACAGTGAAATGTTTTGTTTTGCCAAATCATGCCTTACATTAAGTACATCAGGGTAGCAGAACAGAATGCGGAATACCGTATTACAGCTACAGAGAAAGATCAATTCTAATATATGAGAGAAGTATATTCAAAGTTTCTATAGCATTGCCAAGTAGGAAGCCACAACAACTATTACATACACCTCAAGCTCCCAGAAATAGCAATGTGATAATTGCTAAATACTCTGTATTTTTATGTGACTGACTTGAACAATAAAATCATGAGGGGTATAGATAAAGTGAATGGCAGATGTCTTTTCCCCCAGAGTGGGGGATTTCCACACTAGGCGACATATTTTTAAGGTGAGAGGAGAAAGATTAAAAAAAGACATGGGGCAGTTTTTTATACAGAGTGTGGTTTGTGTGTGGATTGAACTTCCAGAGGAAGTGGTGGATGTGGGTACAATTACAACATTTAAAAGACATTTGTATAAATATGCGAATAAGAAATGTTTGGAGGGATATCAGCCAAGCAGAAGCAGGTGGGCTAGTTTAGTTTGGGATTGTAGGCGGCATAGACTAGTTGGATCAAAGGGTCTGTTTCCTTGCTGTGCGCCTCTATGATGAGTATTAAGCAGGGCATTGTGTTTAAATCGCCAGCTCTTATTTGAAATAAGTCCCAGTTTTCTGTCTTGTAAAACAAGACGGTTTGTGCCTTTGGTGCTTATCTTTGTGTTAAATATCGCCTGCTGTTGCTCAGGAGCCTTATCTGAGATGCTAGATTTGACTGAATGCAGTTCAGAGGAGGATAGTGGGCTGAGAAGGAGCAGAGCTCACTGGCCTCTGTTTCTTCTTGCGCAGCTGAGCTTTACTGTTCTGCTTGGTTCTTCCAAACCTTCAGCCCCTAGCAGTCATAGGTGTCAGCAACTGTCTCCCTCTCTTCATAATAGTGAATCTTATTTACCTGCTGGACAAGGCAAACAGAGCCCTCAGTATCACATCTCACCCAATAGCAGGTATCTCCTAACAGTGCAGTAATCCCTCAGTACTGCACAGGAGCAAAAGCCTTGATTTTTGTGTTTAAGAAACAGAATGGGACTAGAACGCGGAACCTTGTGACCAAGGGGCAAGGGAGTAATCAATTGAGCCACTGACAGCAGGGTGGAAGGGTTGGTACTGTTGTGCAATGTGGTTGACTCTTAATTGCCCTCTGGTCAATTAGGGGTGGGTAATAAATGCTGCCTAGCCAGTGATGCCCTCATCCCGTGAATGAATTAAAAAAAACAAAATGTAGGTGATGAAGGCTCAAGAAAGGAGGTTAACGTGGGGACGCAGTGGGTAGGAAATGGAGTGGATAATGTTAACGGATGCAGGTTATTTTGACCGCCTCTCTTTCTCCCTGTCTTGTGATAAGTAGGAGCAGTTAAATTCATAGCCAGTGCATCATGACTTTTATTTTCCGATGTAACTGCAAAACATGTAGTTCAATTAGACTATGGGCTGCCAGAGCAGTATACCACAGCTGGATGATAAGTAAAACTCTCTTATGAGATGAAATGTAGTGAAACATCAAGAGTAATCTGCTATGGGTTTACAAATTCGTGAGAAGCTGCCAGTGAAAAGTACAGATGCATAGTTCAGCTGGAAGTATTCCTTATTGTTTATTTCTTGAATTGTAGCCAATTTAGTAGTTTCCTCTTTGAGTTTTGCAAATTAGGTTACATCAAGCTAAAGCGTCTCTATTTTTCTTTTCATGCTCGTTGTAGAAACGCAGGATATAGGAACAGGAGCAGGCGATTCAGACCCTCGAGCCTGTTCTGCCATTCAGTGGGATCTTGGCTGATCTGTGGCCTAATTCCATATACTGCCTTTGGCCCATATCCTTTAATACATTTCGCTTAACAAAAAATGTATCTATCTCAGATTCAAAATTAATAACTGATCCAGCATCCACTGCCATTTGTGGGAGACAGTTCCAAATCGCTATCATCCTTTCTCATGCAGAAATGCTTCCTAACATCTCTCCTGAATGGTCTGGCCCTAATTCTCAGACTATATTTTTCTAGAATCCTCAACCAGTGGAAATACTTCATCTATCCTGTCTTTTCCTGCTAATATCCTGAAGATTTTGCTCAGGTCGCCCCATACCTATTAAATTCTAGAGAAAGCAGGCATAATTTGTATAATCTCACCTCATAACTTAACCCCTGAAGAGTGGGTATCATTCTTGCAAAGCTAGGTTGTACTTCCTCCGAGGCCAATATATCCTCCTTAAGGTGTGGTGATCAGATCTGCTCACAGTACTCCAAATGGCAATACAAGTTTTTGTTAAAATAATTATTCATCAGTTGCAGGCATCACTTGCTGGGTCAGCATTTATTGCCCATTCCAAATTTCCCTTAGAATGTGCTGCTGAACCCACTGCTGAACCCACTGCTTGAGCAACTGAAGTCTGCATGGTGTAGGTACAATCCGTAGTGCTATTAGAAAGGGAGTATTAGAGATAGTTCCAGGATCTTTAATGCAGTAACAGTGAAAGAACGGTGATATAGTTCCAAGTCAGGATGATCTTGGAAGGGACGGTGATCTCATGTATCAGCTGCTGTTGCTTCCGTACACTGAGAGCAGGGGATACAACAACTGTAATTCCCTTGAACATCAAGGGGAGGTGATCAGACTTCTGTTGGTGTTGGTAATTGGCTGACACTTGTGTGATGTGAACATTATTTTGTACTTAAAAATTGAAGCCTGAATGTAGCCCTGGTCTTGCTGCATGAGTATAGGAACTGTTTTTGGTATCTGAGGAGTCATGAGTGGTTCTGAAGGTTTGTGTACTCATCAGTAAACATTCCCTCTAAATGGCGAGATGCCCATTGATAAAGTAGGTGAAGATAGTCGGGCCTAGGCCACTACCCTGAGAAACTTCTGTGCTGATTTCCCAGGATTAAGATGAGTGCTTTTCACATCTGGGGAATTTGTCAGAAAATTTTAGTGTCATGCTGTGAGTTGACCATTGTATGGGTGAAAGTTATTGTACGTGACTAAGCTCTCACTTGTAGTGACAGCTCCTCATTGTATCTTCTGGAAATTGCATCACCTAACAATCTGGCATTTAACTAGACAGCACCAAACATTCCCCTAGAACAGTACTTTTGTTGGAAAATTATTGTGAATGCTTCAGCCTTATCTTTTGCACTGACGTGCTTGGCTCTTCCATCACTGAGGATGGGGATATTTGTGGAGCCTCCTCCTCCAGTGAGTTGTTTAATTATCCATCACCATTCACAACTGGATGTGGCAGGACTAGTGAGCTTAGATCTGATCCATTGGTTGTGGGATCGCTTAGCTCTGTCTATCACTTGCTGCTTATGCTGTTTGATGCGTAAGTAGTGCTTTGGTGTGGCTTCACCAGGTTGACACCTCATTGGTTGATCCCATGGCTTGATGATAATGGTGGAGTGGATGATGTGCCAGGCCATGAGTTTGCAGATTGTGCTGGAGTACTATTCTGCTCCTTTTGATGGCCCACAGTGCCTTGATTGCCCAGTCTTGAGTTGCCAGATCTGTTTGAAGTCTGTCCCATTCAGCACGATGATAGTGCCACACAACACAATCGAAGGTATTCTCCATGTGATGACGGGACTTTGTCTCTACAAGGACTGTGCAGTGGTCACCCTTGCCAATACTGTCATGGACAGATACAATTGCAGCTGGCAGAATGGTAAGGATGAGGTCAAGTATGTTTTTCCCTCTTGTTCGTTCCCTCACCACCTGCTACAGACCCAGTCTAGCAGCTATGTCCTTTTGGATCTGACCAGCTCGATCTGTGGTGTTGCTGCTGAGACACTTTAGGTGGTGAACATTCAAATCCCTCACCCAGAGTACATTCTGTACCCTTGCCGTACTTAGTGCTTCCTCCAATTGGAGTTTAACATGGAGGAGTACTGATTCATCAGCCCAGGGTTGAGAAGGGAGATGGGGCCATTATGTGGTAATTGGTAGGAGGTTTTCTTGCTCATGTTTGACCTGATACCATGAAATTTCATGGGGTCTGGAGTCAAATGTTGAGGACTCCCAGGGCAACATCCTCCTGACTGTATACCACTGTGTCGCTACCTCTGCTGGTTCTGCCTGCCGGTGGGACAGGATATATCCAGGGACAGTGATGGTGGTGTTTGTAAGGTATGATTCCATGAGTATGACTGTGTTAGTTTGTTGACTTGACTAGTCTGTGAGATATCTCTGCCAATGAATAAATTCAATGCAGGAATAAAATTACAACTGACTTTAGACTACACATGAGTGAATCAATGTATAAATAAAGGGCAGTATTGCTAATTTTCACTGGCAGCTGTTTACATCTCGAGTCCACATCTGCAGCAGTCATTGCCTGCCCGGTCGTTTTCCAGGAACACTTGGAACAGAGAACAGAATACAGCACAGGAACTTTATATGCAATTTGCAAACCAGTCACTCAATAGTATAGCAGTTGAATATGCTGAAAACAGACACATGCCTGCAAACTTTTGCTGCTTGGACTCATCAGGACTGATGCAAGAATGCCAAATTTCAAGCAACCACAGCAATTCATACTTCACTGACTAGTTGTCCAATTAGCTGTTGACTGGCCAAGATATTATGGGCTCTCAGGCTACTGGGTAATTCAGGAAAAAAAGCATAAGGTTTGAACATATCCCTTGGTTCTCAAAGAATGAGTTGCCTGCCACTTATAGCAAGTATGAATGGACCACATGAGGAACTCAACTAATTATTTTCAATTGGGAGTTAACACAATTGGATTGTTCAGCAAGTGTTGTCCAAATCATGGAATCACGTTTAACAGTTGGCATTGTGTTTTGTGTTTTGCAAATGTGAAAAAAGCTTTGGCATCATGTCTCCTCAGCATTAATCTTCAGAATCAATTCAGCAATGAATCAGTATGAATTCAGCTCACAGGAGGGGTGCAATAAAGGAAGTCCTGGATAAACACGGAATCCATAATATGTGTCTTCCAGTTCTCATTCACCTGCTGGGACAGTTAACTGTCCACAGATCAATACAAGTGACATTGAAGGTCACCGTCTGGGTTTGTCCAGGCATTTACAGAGATGTTACAGACCCTGGATATTGTAAATTGTAGTAAGGAAGTAAGTAAATCTCTGCATTGAATTGTATTGAGGTCCTGGCACAGGCTGAAAGCGGGAGGCTGTCCTGTTCAGGCAGGAAACGGTACCCTCCAGAGGCACCTTCCCGGTGGGATCCAATTCGGTGACCATCGCCCCTGCTATGAACAGCTGTTATTCCCTGAGTAACCAGACTAACCAGAGGGTCCACAGTCCAGCAGCCTGACCGCTTACAATGGTTTATGCTGAGACTGCAGGATGCAGCGGCATCAATGACCAGGCACACTTGAAGAGTGATAAGTGGAGTCTGGTGATGCCAGGGTTCACCTGGCAGGCCCTCACGATCTGTGGGAGGGTGGAGTTACCCTGGCCACTCGGAGCACCTCTGTGAACTGATGGGTTCCCAAAAGGAGCCCCACCCTGATGCCCCTCATTGGAAAGCCACAAACCTTCACTCGTTAATCAACAACCGCCCCCACCATGTTCACCCTGCAGCAATGGGCATCCCCACTGGAGCATGGAGAGATCGCAAGCAGTGGTTTTAATGCCATCTTGGCATAGTCACAGGATGACATTGGGTGCACTATTCCCACACCAGTTTTCCAGGCTTCTGACTTCCCTGCCATATCCAAAGGCTTGGTAAAATTCTGATCTCCACTTCTGCCATGCACCTACCTACATCTACTCAACTCTGCATCAAAACAAATCTAACACTATACATAGCCTCTGTTTTCTTTAAAGCTGAGACCTAGACACTTTAATTTCCAATTGGCAAGCTAATAACTTGCTTTGAAAACAATAACTGGAGCCAAACATAATTTTAATGAGCATTTGCCAAATTCAGAAAGCCACAAATTACATAGATATTTGAATTAATTGCAGCATGTTTGTATTTGAATTGATTGGCTTCAGTCATCCCTCATTGAAATGCTTGACAACTGATCAGATTAGTCACCAAAACAATATGTGCGTTTAGCTGGAATATGATTTTTGTGAATGAACTTGGCTTTAATCCCTTGAGTATAATGGCAATAGGGACATGCTATTGAACCTGCAGTATAAATTGTTTCCTTTGAGAATTGGTATTCTTGTATTTTTAACCTGATGAGCGAAAGCCAAAAATCATCTTCAACATGTCCCTTTTTTCAACAATATTCAAATATTACGAGGCAACTATTTAAATTGCTTTTGCTCTACGACAGCAACGTAAAAATACCAGTTGCGAGCTAAATTTAAGTCAACGAACTTCCTTTTTGTCACTCACCTGTTACGTGTAAACGATAGACACCTGAAAAATTTTGCAACCCTATTGATGTAGAGAATGGAGAATAACCTCCTGATAAAATCCAGCCAGAGAAAGTCAAAATCTCTGTGACTGAACTGCTATTACCCATTTTACAGCCCACCTGAAGTTGAATTTCAGCACCTCTGACACAGAAGTAATGATATTTATATGAATTGACTAGTTACAGAGCCCGCTAAGGTTAGCTTAGTAAACATGACTGCAAAGTTCAATTTTATTCCCTTATTTTACTCTCCCTCCTTTGATTAATGTTGTGAATGTTTCATGCTTATAAAAGGGCTTTTCAATTTGCACCATTCAGATGTTGTGACTGAGACTGGTTCCCAGTCTGCTCAATCATCAGACAAAGAATTCATCTTCCAGTTTATTTTATTAATTTGTTACAGGCTGAGCGAAATTTGTAGCTCTTGGTCTTTGTAAAACAAACCGACATTTGAAAAATAAAATAAATGTTCAGTTATATGATGGCAGGTTAATAATTTGTATTTCAATCCTGACAAAATGTATTTATTTTTCTAACGCTAACGCCATACAGCAAGCAAGGTTAAACTAACACCTCATCGGTTATTAAAGTGTGTGTTTGTTGATGCAATAACTGCCCACCATTTCCAACGTGACTGACTTGGCAAAATGTCAGTCAGAAATCTTTGAGAAGGAGGTGAAATGCAGTTCACTCAACAACAGGGATGTATTCAAACACTGACTATCAATAGCTGGTACCAAAAGAAATGCCAAAAACAAACCAGAGATAGTAGGAACTGCAGATGCTGGAGAATCTGAGATAACAAGGCGCAGAGCTGGATGAACACAGCAGGCCAAGCAGCATCAGAGGAGCAGGAAAACTGACTAAGGTTTTGGAGTAGATCTGTAGCTTGGGTTGTGGGTGTTGAGGTTGGTTGGCTCGCCGAGCTGGTTTGTTGTTTTGCAGACATTTCGTTACCGTGCTTGGTAACATCCTCAGTGCAGCCTCCGATGAAGCGTCGGTGTGTTTTCCCGCCTGGTTTTTAAACTCTGGGGTCCGTTGCGATGGATTGCCTCACTTCCGGGTTTCCTCCGTAGTGGAATGTATATGGGGTCGAGTTCAATGTGTTTATTAATAGCATGCTTCGTGGAGTGCCATGCTTCCAGGAATTCTCGTGCTTGTCTCTGCCTAGCCTGTCCCAGGATCTTGGTGTTGTCCCAGTCGAAGTGGTGGTTTTCCTTGTCCATGTGGATTGAGATGAGTGAGTATTGGTCGTGTCTTTTTGTAGCCAGTTGGTGTTAATGTACTTTTGTTGTTAGTTTCCTTCCTGTTTGAAGCAGGTGGGGCTTGAATACAGGCCTCCTGGTCCAGTGGCAGGGACATTACCACTGTGCCACAAGAGCCCTTTGCTCTTGGGTAATAGCAGTTCACTCATAGAGATTGTAACTGTCTCTGGCTGGATTTTGTGAGCTTTTTCTTCGTACTCTGGAGAGAGTTGTAAAATGTTTCGGGTGTCTACACGTAATTGGTTGGTGACAGAAGGGAAGCACTTTGACTTAAATGTAGTTTGGCTTAAATGTAATAGTTGTGTAGTAGTACTTGAGTATTGCTGAGAAAAGGGACATGCTGGTGAAGCATTTTGTCTTGCACTCATCAGGTTAAAACTGCAAGAATACCAATTCTGAAAGGGAACAACAATTTATACTGCATAAGAAAAGGGCATTGATTGGTTGGCAAATGGACTCTTGTTGATTGAGGCATTCTCTTGGATCTATTTGTTCTCCATATTTATATTGAATTTAAAAGAGGAGCAATGCCAGGATGCTTTTTCTTTTTGATCTGCAAATGACAAAGACCCAGTGTGAATATATGCTGAGGCTAGCAAGTGAAAATGAGGCACATTGCGAACTTAACTGATTATCTTCAATTGGCCATTCACTTAACAGATATTTTCTAATCAATCTGTTCCGAGATGTTATGATGCATCTCTAGAGCAGGTAGGACTCAAAGCCAGGTTTCCTGGTCCAGAAACAGGGACATTAATACTGTGCCACAAATGTCCTTTGCTCAACTTTATATGCTAGTAATTTCATTAGAGGATCTAAAAGTAAAAATGCTGCTAAAATGTAAGCAATATTTATTAAAAATAATATAACATTTTGATGCAATCATAGAATCCCTACAGTGTGGAAGCAGGCCATTCGGCTTATTGAGTCCACACTGACCCTCCAAAGAGCATCCTACCCAGACCCTCCCCCCTATCCTATCCCTATAACTCTGCAATTCTCATGGCTAATGAACCCAGCCTGCACATCTTCGGCCTGTGGGAGGAAACCGGAGCGCACGGAGGAAACTTATGCAGACACAGGGAGAATGTGGGATCTCCACACAGACTGAGACTGGAGTTAAACCTGGGTCCCTGGTGCTATGAGGTCCCTGACCCACCGTGCCGCTGCAATTTACTCAAAATGTATTGACAACATCTGTATTGGATCATTGTGCTAGCACCTCTTCCGGTAGGTGTTTTTCTAAATATTGTCTTTATATACAGGACAGTTCAACCTGACAACTATATTTCTTTTTTGTTTCAGAAGAATAGCTGGTTCCCGGCCGAGGCTGCACTGCACTTTTTTATGGGAACCCCACAGTCCGTTGTCAACAGGGACGTAGCTGTTGACTTTCAGCTGAACTACTCAAAGCGAAAACTATCAGCGAAAATTATTCATCCAAAGCGAAAGATAAAAATAGATGGTAAGCTGAGTTGTGTAGCTTTTACCTTACAGAACTCTAGATGCTTTGCAAATGCAAAGTTTATTGGAACCAGTCCTGCAACAATTAGACTATGCTTGCTCCTCACGGTGATAGCGGGTTGATAGAATGGCCATAATCACTGAGCTTCCATTTCCTACGTGCATTGATTGGGTGGATCAAATTTCTACAAACATGGAAGGTCTCAATGATCAGTCTGAGTTTACATTTAAGGGGCAAACAATTGATAGTAACGTGGTTCAGTTAGAGGCAGAATTCCTATATATAAAGAAGATTAAAAACAGGAAGGTTTGTTTCCAATGACCGGGAAGTCCAGAACCAAGGGTCACAGTCTAAGCATATGGGATATGCCATTTAGGACAGAGATGGTGAGAAATTTCTTCACCCAGAGAGGAATTCTCTGCCACAAAAGGCAACTGAGGCCAAAATTTTGAAGGTTTCTATGAAAACTATATAGTTCTCAGGGATAAAGTGATCAAAGGGCATGGAGCAAAAGCAGGAACAGGGGACTGAGTTGGATGATCAGCCATGATCATATTGAAAATGACAGAATAGGCTAGAAGGGCCAAATGGCCTACTCCAGCTCCTATTTTCTATGTTTCTACATCTGCTGATTCCATCCCGTCGGTTGTGCGATTTTGGAACTCAGCCTCGGTGTGTGATGGAGGGGGATCAGACAAAGAGATAGATACTTTCTTATTCGGCCGAGGAATCAATGGTTATTGGGGTTAGGTAGGATTCGAGACACAAATCGACCTCGATCATATCGAATGGCCTACTCCTCCTATTTCAGATGTTGGTATGATGCTGCTGTAAAAATGTTAGCATCAAAGGGACACTTTCCTCTTTGGTATTTTAATGGTAAACAACAGGTTGAGGATGTGGGGAGTGGAGTGGATTGCCTAACTTCTTTTCTACTTGTTTATGCTAAAGGTTATCACTTAATGCCTAATAATCACCTAAAAATTAGGGCCTTTCAGAACAAGTTTTCGAATTCTGTCCATTAACCTCTCTTCCCTCTCTTTACACCTTATTGTCGTCATTTTTAAAATGACTGTTTGGGCGATCGTTAGACCATCTGTCCTAGCATCTTATTCTGTAGCTCAGTGTCAAATGTTTTCTCATTGTTAACCCACAGCAAATGCGGCAGCACCAACAAAGAGAGAAACGGAGTGAATGCTTCAGGTCATTGGTAGAAGGTCATGGATCCAGAGTGTCCACTCTGATTTGCAGGTGCTGCCCGACCTGCTGAGGATTTGCCGCAGTTCCTGTTCTGATTTCAGATTTCTAACATCCACAGTAACACACCACCTTGTTCCCTGGCCAACATCTCCATCTCAGGCTTGCTTGAAGAACAGTATCTCATTTTCTGCTTGGGAACTCTACAGATTCAATATCGAGTTCAACAATTTTAGGGCTTGAAGCACCTTCTCCCATGTCCTTACCCCAACTCCCACACACCAGGCCTTGTTATCACATGTCTGCTATTATACACAACGCATTGTAACCACTAACAGTCCCCATTAATAGCTCTGCATTCTCCCAGGCTGATCGGTATCCACTCCTTTGTCTGTTCAACTGTTGTTCTCTCTGCTTGGGCTGTATCTCCACCTATCATTTACTCCTCCCTCCCCCCCTCCTCTTCTCTCTCTCTCACCCCCACTTCCCCTTCCCATCGCGCTCCCTCCGAAATCTTAAGCATACATATCAACCTTTTCCAAGCAGCCATGAGTTCTGAGGAAGGGTCACTGGACCCAAAACATTTGCTCTGATTTCGCTTCATAGATGCTGCCAGACCTGCTGAGCTTTTCCAGTAACTTCTGTTTTTGTTTCTGATTTCCAGCATCCACAGTTCCTTCAGCTTTTATTTAGGAATTTGTTTTTGTCTGACGGCAGTTGTGTGAAGCTCCCTCGCTGTGCCAAAGGCATTAAATAAATGCAGGCTGTTGTTGTTGAGCCAAATATTTCATAGAATCCCTACAGTGTGGAAACAGGCCCTGTGGCCCAATTGTCCAGTTCCTTTTTAAACTGAATTGATTCTCTGTCTACTTACTTTTCTTGGCTGAAAGTTAGGTTATAGCGCTGCACTGTAACCTCATGGAAGGCTACTGTGGCTTTTAGTGCTCTTCGTTATTGGAAGGGTACCATTATTGTGGCCGGGTTCTGCTCCCCACCTCTGCTATAAAGCATTCAATAGATCCAGGTTCAGCAGGAAAAAGAAAGTCCTGTTCTCCCAAAGGCAACATGCTCTGGAAAGTTTTACAAAGCAGCTGCAGTCATGTTGGCGCACGTGTTATGCACACAGCTAATGCTCTTGATTTTGATTTTGCAGGAGAGATTACAAAAATGAAACACTCCCGCACAGGACAGCTGGAAATCCTCATAGACGACAAAGACTTGTATTATGTTAAGGTAGAGTTGGCAAGTCGCTTTCTACGAGAATGCCAGTGTTGGAGTATATTTGCAGCACGTGTGTTACCCTGCTGTGTTCATGTGACTTGTTACTATTTGCTCCATTCAGAGTGACCTAAATCTGCCGTGTTCCAGCATCAATCAATTTGCAATAGTCTCTGTAAAGTAATTAGTCTGTAGTTGGTTGCTGCTGTGGGTTTTGTTGCTTTTTAAGTTGTGATTTAGAGGGAACTGTGAATGTTTTCATCCAACCCTTCAAACTGGGCATATTATGATGAAGTGGATTTCACGCAATTGTTGGTAAATGCAAGGGCAGCTCACGTTGGGCTTAATGAGGAATAAATAGGACAGGATTTATTATTGATAGATGGGCCGCATCCTTACCTCTGGACCAGGAGCCCTTGGTTCGAGTCCCATGCTACGACTTTGGAAGTGTATTCACAATGCGGCCAAAGGGGCTGGTCATTAATCTGCAGAACCTTCCAGCACACCTGAGGGCAGGCTACAGTTGTGGGAGACATTTCTGGTCAGCTGCCCTATGGAAGGCAATAGTGAAGCACTGCAATATGTGTGGGCCAAGTCAGTAGCAATCCATAATCCAATTTTCAGAAATGAGGACGGGAGAAAAGGCAGGCAGATGTTATAAAAGGTAGAGGTCCAAAATGACTTGGAGGTCCAGGCTTTCAGATTATTAATGTGTCATGAATAACTAGAGAAAGTGATGAAAATACTCATGGAATAGTGGCCTGTATATCTTCAATACTAGAAGACAAAGTGGGACAGCAGTCAATTTTCAGCTATACTAAGCCCTGGTTCAATTACACCGGGAGTACCACATCTTATAAAGGATATATTGGCATTGTAGGGTGTGCAGTTTTGGATTACCTGAGTGATGCATCCACTTAGGATGCCATGGTATTGAAAGGTTATGGACCAAGTTCATGAAAATTGGGAAGGCAATGGCCTAGTGGTATTATCACTGGATTGTTAATCCAGAGACCCAGGTAATGTTCTGGGGACCTGGGTTCAAATCCTGCCACGGCAGATGGTTGAATTTGAATTCAACAAATATCTGGAATCAAGAGTTTACTGATGACCATGAATCCGTTGCTGATTGCTGGGGAAAAAAAACATCTGGTCCACTAATGCCCTTTGGGGAAGGAAATTGTCATCCTTACCTGGTCTGGCCTACATATGTTTGTCTTCAGACCCACAGAATTGTGATTGACTGTTAACTGCCCTCTGGGCAATTAGGGATGGGCAATAAATTTGGCTAGCCAGTGATGCCTTCATCCTGTGAATTTAAAAAAAATCTTAAAAATAGGATTACAATACTTTGGCGGTTGTTTGTGACTGGTGCAGACACAATGGGACAAAGGGCCTTTCTCTGTGCTATAGATCTCTTTGGCTCTATTGTGCTCCAATGGTGGAATCTCGTGGAGGTGGCAGGGATCTCAGTCATTAGCTGGAGCGCAATAAGAATGCTACATCCTCTCCCACTGCAACGTTTGTCAGTCAGGCTCATGACAGGCCAATGGCGAGCCTTCCCTTGGAATCGAGGGCCCTGGGATGAGAGGAGATTGGCTGGCATCACTTCTCAACTCAGCAGCACCACCAGTGGTTGCTGCCAGTATGACAGCCACCCAAGGCTTCAGATGGTGGAGGGGCTGAGTGCATGGGTGAGTGATGAAGGGAGGGGTGAGGATCGCGGAGGAAGGTAATGGGGCCTTGATTGGTAGTGGGATGGGTTGGCAGTATGTGGCCCTTCCCCACAGAACTAATTAGGGTGGAGGTAGGAAGGAGGTAGGATCCTCACCTGAAACCATCCTGCCACCAAACCTGACACACAGGAGGGATTACGCGCCAAGGATTGAATTATGAACAGAGGTTACACAAACTAATCTTATTTTCCATGGAATTTAAAAGATGAAGGGTGATTCGATCAAAGTTTTTAAAATATTTTTGAAAACAAGTAGGCCGAAACTATTTCTGCAAGTAGAGGAATCTAGGACATGGACACCTAGAGTCTAAAATCTATAGGCCATTCATTCAGGAACAAAATTAAAAACAAATTCTTCACACAAAAGGTGTTAGCAGTTTACAACTCACTTCTAAATGTTATACAGAGATTGATAGATTTTTGATATTTGTAAGTGTTAGCTCAGTTGGCTGGATAGCTGGTTTGTGATCCAGAATCTGCATTGTTTGTGAGATGCACATATGCGAATCAATTGTTTTGCTTTAATATCTGCTTCATACCTTACAATGTGTTTCACTGTTTCAAATCAACAAAGCCATGAAGCTAATCCCTTATGATTGATCGATAATTAGACCATTTTCATTTACATGAAACAAATAACAATCATGAAGATGTCTCTAAGAGACAAAGTGCCAATGGTGTACACTACACTTAGCCCCTGTTGAATCTTTTTACTTCGCCTGATGAAGAAACAGCGCTCCAAAAGCTTGTGATTTCAAATAAACCTGTTGGACTATAACCTGGTGTCGTGTGACTTCTGACTTTGTCCACCCCAGTCCAACACCGGCATTGGCACACCATGAATCTTTTTACAGAGCTGCAGACGTTTTCTTATCATGCTTCACCTCTGTCCAGAACTTTCAGGAATTCGGGTGTGCCTGCATTAATGCAAAATGTAACTTAATTCAGTTCTGCAATGTCATTCTCCAGTTATAGTCAATGCAAAATTTTTTGGCAAGATCCTGATTGTAGCCTTTTCATGTCTGGTATTTGTTTTCTAGGGATGGACAAACTTGCAAAATCTTGATGGAGAGCAGATGTTTTCCTCCCAGCTGGAAGTCAAACTCTCAAAACGTGGGAGCCCCATGATACTGTCTGGCAATGTGACCAGAGTCCCTGGACAGAAAATTGCATTTTTTGTGTCACTGAACAATGTAATGCAAGAAACAGCTACTGTGTCAGGTTAGTCCAATCAGAACAATCTAACACCTCCTTCTCTGGGAACCAGCTTGGGGCACAGAGATTTTGAACTATACTTCCTAGATATCAGCATTTTAATTTTCCTCATTGACTTTTCAGCTTTTGTAATGTACTGCATGGTGCAAATGGTAAAACTTTAAACCCTCTTTAAGAACTATTTTGGTAGCCTATCTATTCCTGAGCACCAACTAAAGCAGCAAATTGCAATGGAAAATGGATGTATTATACCATATGTGTCAAATCATATCCATGGAAATATAAATTAGATATTCAAATATATGAGGTTAGCTTCATTCGACTGTAGAACCAAGCTGGAAGTTTCTGTTTGACTCAATTTCAGTTTCCAAGGAGCTGTGACAGATGAATCGTATTAGTTGTGAAACTCATCAATTCAGCAGTTAGCCACAGATATGTTAATGGTAATAGCACTCAAACCATTCACATCAAAAAGGTACTTCACATGGATCAAAGAAGTTAGTCTTCAGGTAAAGCAAGTAATCGGGAAATCTAATAGCATGTTATGGTTTATTACAAGGGGAATTGAATGCAAGAGTAGGGAGGTTATGCTTCAGTTGTGCAGGGCAGTGGGGAGACCACATCTGGAGCACTGTGTGCAGTAATGGTCACCATGCTTGATGTGTATTTGTGTAAGTTTGGTGGACTGTCACTTTGAGTCTGATCACATGAAGTAACTATGACATTATCACCCATTTTGGAGAGACAAACAACTCTCTCTCACCTTACTGCCTACAGAGTGAACATTTCCGGAATAAAGCTCCTCTGTTTTAACGCTTCGGCCTCCCAGATGTGAATGCTTTGGAAGAAATGCCAGGGTTGGAGGGATTGAACTATAGGGAGAGGCTGAATTGGCTGGGGCTATTTTCCCTGGAGTGTCAGAGGCTGAGAGGTGACCTTATAGAGGTTTATAAAATCATGAGGGGCATGGATAGGGTGAATAGACAAGGTCTTTTCCCTGGTGTGGGGGACCCCAAAACTAGAGAGCATAAGTTTAAGGTGAAAGGAAAGATTTAAAAGGGATCTAAGGGGCAACATTTTCACAGAGGGTGGTGCATGTATGGAACGAGCTGCCAGAGGAAGTGATGGAGGCTGGTACAATTACAACATTTAAAAGGCATCTGGATGGGTACATGAATAGGAAGGGCTCAGGGGGATATGGGCCAAATGCTGGCAAATAGGACTAGATTGATTTAGATACCTGGTCTGCATGGACGAGTTGGACCGAAGGGTCTGTTGCTATGCTGTACATCTCTGTGACCCTAAGGTTCAGTAGACTAGTACCACACTTGCTGAGTTTACCATGAAGCATCCTCCTTCTCAACTTCTGCCCTCACCTGAGGTATGGTGACCCTGAGATTAAACTGCCATCAGTTGTCTTTCTCTAATGAGAGAGCAGCCCTATAGTACTATGGGGCTATGGTGACTTTACCCTTCCCTTTTACTAGAGTAATGTCTGGAATGAACAGATTTCCTTATAAGAAAAGGCTAGACAGGCTAGGCCTGTAACTTCTGGAGTTTAGAACAGTCCGAGACAACTTAATTGAAACATATAAGACCCTGAGGGGACTTGACTGGGTGGTTGTTGAAAGGATGTTTCCTCTTGTGAGAGAATCTAAAACTGGGGATCATAATTTAAAAATAAGGAGGTGCCCATTTAAAACAGAATGAGGATTTTTTTTCTCTTAGAGAATTGTGAGTCTTCAGAATTCCCTTCTTCCAAAGGCAATGGACGCAGGATCTTTAAATATTTTTAAGGCAGATTCTTGATAACCTGGAGCATGAATGATCATCAGCAATATGAAGGAATGTAGCGTTGAGGTTAAAATCAGATCTTAGTGAATGGCAGAGCAGGCTTGAAGAGCCAAATGGCCTACTCTTGTTCATATATTGGTACATAATTAACTGTGAAGGGAAATCACTGTGGTGTTAATAAAAGTATGTAATATGGTGATTGTGTGCAGTCTGTACGCCATGATAGGATTTCTTTGGGCTTTCCATTCTCACCACTGGATGAGTCCCAAGGAGGGTGTAAGATGCTCTTTGGATGGTTAGTGTGAATTCAATGGGCCGAATGGCCTTCTTTCACACTCTGGGGATTCTATGAAAAATGGAGAACAAACATAATATGGACAGTTTCTGAAGTTATTGCATTTAATATGTGTATGTAATGTAAATACAGAACCCAGACTATGTATAAATCTGTGACATAACAGCAATGTGAATAATCATTGTAAGAGTCATAGGGTCATACTTCGGTCCACCATATCTAGGCCGACCAAGGAACACTACCCCACTACACTATCCTATTTACCTGCACTTAGTCCATAATCCATCCACGTCAACATAACAGTTAACAAAGTGTACAAATGCCTCTACGTCCCCGGAGGCAAAGGAACTTCAGCATGTCCACAATGACTCTTACCAATTTTTATAGATGCTCCATATAAAGCATCCTGTCTGGATGCGTCATAGCTTGGTATGGCAACTGCTCTGCCCAAGACCGCAAGAAATTTTAGAAAGCTGTGAACGCAGCCCAGTCCATCACCAGCCTTCTATCCATAGACTCTGTCTTGAGCTTCCCCCCGCCCTCAGGAAAGTAGCCAACATAATCAAAGACCCCCTCCCACCCAAGTTATACTATCTTCCACTCTCGTCCATCGAGCAGTCTGAAAACAGCTGCTTCTTTGCTGTTATAAGACTTATGAGTGGACTTTCATGCAGAGTTGATCTTTCTCTGCACCTTCGTTGTAGTTCTAACACTATATTCTGCATCTGTTCTATTACCCTGATGTATTTGTGTAAGGTGTGATTTGTCTGCTTAGTACGTAATACAATACTTTTCACTGTATCTTGGTACACATGAAAATAATAAGTCAAACCAAATCAAACCAGTGTTTTATGAAGTTGTAACAAGACTTCTTTTGATCCTATATTTTACACCCCAGCTAATGAAGGCAAGCATCTCGTATGCCGCCTTCACCACCCTTTCTACCTGTGCTGACAGCTTCAGGGATCTATGGTCTTGCACACCAAGGTCCTTTTGTTCCTCAGTACTCCCTAGGGACTTACTGTTCATTGTGTATTCTTCCCTTATTAGATCTCCCAAGCTGCATCACCTCGCACTTATTGGGATTAAATTCTATCTGCCATTGGTCTGTCAAATTTACCAGCTGATCAATATCAGGCTACAGCCTGAGACCGTCGTCCTCACTATCAATAACATCACCAATTTTTATGTCATCTGCAAACGTACTAATTATATCTTCCATATTCGTACCAGATTATTAATGTACGTTACAAACAGCAAGGGTCTCAGCACTGATCCCTGTGGTGCACTGCTGCTCACAGGCTTCCAATCACAAAAACATCCCTTTACCATCACCGTTTGCCCTCTGTTTGCAAGCCAATTTTTGATCGCCTTTGAACAAATCTGTGCTGACTGTTCCTGATGAATTCCTGTCTTTCCAAGTGTTGATTAATCCCTCTGGCAGAATTTTTCCCAATATTTTCCCTACCGCTGACGTCAGACTAACTGGTCTGTAATTACCTGGCCTATCCCTGCTGCCCTTCTTGAACAGAGGAACTATATTATCTATCCTCCAGTCATCTGGCACTTTACTTGTGGCCAGATAGGTAATAAATGTCTCTGCCAAGCCCCAGCGATCTCCTCCCTTGCCTCCTACAGCAGCCTGGGATACATCTCATTAGGCCCTGGGAAATTACACACCTTACACCCATTAAAACATCTAATACCTCCTCCTGCTTAATCTTAACATGCTCTAAAACCTCACCATGCCAACTGAAATCTCCAGCTACAATGTCTTTCTCTTTTGTGAATACAGATGAAAAGTATGTGTTTAAGATCTCACCCACATCTGCTGGTCCAACAGAATGCCCCTCTGCATTCTAAAATGTCCCACCCTTATACACTTATTAAAAGAAACCTGGGGGTTTTTCTTTGGTTGTATCTGCCAAATGTATTTTGTGGTCCCTCCTAATTTCTTTTTAAGCAATCCCCTACACTGTCTATACTTTTGAAGGGCCGCCTCTGTTTTTAATTTGCCGTAAGTGACATATGCTTCCTGGTTTTCCTTTATCAAGCACGGATGCTCCATCGTGAGTCCATCCACAGCTGCAGCCACTCCGTGCAATCAGAAAGGAACTGCAGTTGAACACACTTCCTGCATACGTGGTCACCATGGATACTGGAAATGCCCCTAATTCCCCACATTTGTAGGAGGAACATGCTACACAGCCGCGTTCTGCTGCCTTTTCGAACCTAATCAACCTGCAAACAATAAACAAGGAAACAATTATTCAAACTTACCCACTACTCACCAAATCAGATTTCTCTCTCTCTCTCTGACTTTCTATTCCTAACAAATTACAAATGACAAAAAGTAAGGACTTTACACTCTGTCTCCCTCCTGATACCAATCGCTTAGTCTCTAAAGTCAGTTCCTAAGCAACCAATCCTCTTGCCCCTATGTCACTTTTTGAACCGTGACATCACCTTAGGAGCTGTGGCTCTGGATTCACCCACTCCACTCCTCTCCCACTGCTGCTCTGACTGAGTTTGTTGTAAATAAACCTCAAGACATCTGTCTCAAGATGAACCTGATCTATGTGGTATATGACTCGTGAGTTAACATGTTGGCATCACTCGGACCATAGCATACCGACCTGAGAAATCACGTCATAGTGGCATGCTGGTTGGCATGGCCTGGGTGTCTTACCCCAGTGAGGGGTCCAAGAGGTTTTGGGAGATGTGGTTTGAGAGATTGGCCAGGTATCTTACAGGGAGCTACGACCTTCCTAGTGTGGAGAGGACAGGTGTACCTCTGATGGGCACAGGGAACTCCTAATGGGAGGTACCTTCCCTTTACTCTGAAGGGGGAGGGGCAGGTTCCAAAACAACCTTGGAAATGTGACACTGGAATGTCTCAAAGATCAGATGGAGGAGGGTTAGTGTACCAGGGCTGGTGGGGCTGCCCACAGGTAAACCTTAAGAAATGTTGCTGACTCTTCCAGCTCATAGCGGGCATTGTTTTAAGCCATATTCATCCTTATTCTGGTGAGCCAACCTGTCTCATCATGTGGCTGATGCTAGGCATGTAACCATGACCAGTAACTCATGAAGTATTAACTTGGATCCACGTGTAACCTCTGTTATAAGTTTCAGTTTGGAGAACAGACTGGCATTGAGTCCGAAGCGGGCTGGTGTAAGTTTCTTTTTTATTTAAGTTAGCAGGCAACCAGATCACTCTTCCACATAGTATATTGAAGAGGGCTAAAGTATACTTTGTGGTCAGAACTATCTATTTAAAAAGAAATACAAGCCTGTGACATAAATAGAGTTATGATTAATTGGCTATTTTTCCTTCTGAGCTACTTATTTCTGACTTTTATCACCAGACTGGAAGCATTTATTAAGCCCTTGTGCTGACTCTAGGGTTTCGACCACATTCTTTGACTGTCTGCTGTCTCCATTAGAGTCTTGTCATCTTTTATATACGCAAAAGAAAAGAACATATTTCTGTAGAACCCAAACAGCAGAGCTTTATGAAATCCAACCAGCTCAATTATATCCGGCCGGTTATCAATAGATGTCAGACCTCAGTGAAGCATACATCTTCACAATTATGAAGAGAGTGTATTCCACTGTAGAAATAGCAGGCCCTTCAGCCCATTCAGTGCATGCTAGTATACATTGTTCAGATAAGCAATCACTGTGATTCCAAGTGCCAATCTAATTTCCATCCCATAATAAATTGTGGATGGTGGAAATTTAAAATAAAAACAGTAAGGTCTGGAAGCATTCAGCTGATCTGGCAGTAACAGCAGAGAGAGAGCCGCAGAGTTCATGTTTCAAGCTGAATATGACTTCTGTTCAGAACTCGAGTCATTCAATCTATTCCTCTCTCCGGAGATGCCGCCAGATCTGCTGAGTATTTCCAGCACTTGCTGCTTTTACTTCTACTTTCCACCATCCATGATGTTTTGGGTTTATTTCCGGTATTATGCTGGTATTTCCAGAACTTTATGTTTCCATTTAGTTTTCAAGTTTCTTTCCTTCTTTCCAATTTCTGATAGAGTAACAGTGTGATGAAAATAGTTGAGTTAAAACCTTTATGAATCAGTTTACTAATGCTGGTGCAATATGACCCTCTGAGTGTTTAAAGATTGTCTGTGATTCCTTTACCTTTTATTCATCCTCTGCCGTCCTCTAACTTTGTTTGTTTTGGTTCATATTAAAATGTTTCTCCTCAAATATCGATGTTTGAGGAAGGGCTGCTGTGCACAATTAGAGGGTTACTAAAAGTGCTGAGGTGGTGGTGTTTATTTGATCCAGTTGACTGCCAGGATCCTCATCTCAAACTTCACAGCTGTGGAGGTCAGAAGAGAATATGGAAGATGAGGTAACCCAGGGTTGCAGGTTTTGCTAATCCTTGCAACCAATGTCTGGTACGAATTGGTCTGGCCCTTTGTTGCAGAGGTCCATATGCTATTTCATGTCATTTTGATACAAATCCATTATTAGTGCAGAAGTCTCTTTGTCCATCAGAGAGTTGTGAACACAGCTCAGTCCATCATGAAAACCAGCCTTCCTTCCATTGACTCCATCTATACTTCCTGCTGCTTCGGGAAAGCAACCAAGATCATCAAAGACCCCTACCCTGGTTATACTCTCTTCCACGTTCTTCCATTGGTCGGAAGACACAATGGTTTGAAAGCACATGCTGACAGATTCAGGAACAGCTTCACCCCTGCTGTTATCAGACTTAAAAACGGATCTCTCATATATTAGAGTTGATCTTTCTCTGTAGCTGTAACACCATATTCTTCATTCTGTTCTATTACCCTGATGTACTTGTGTAAGGAATGATTTGTCTGGGTATCACGCAAAACAATACTTTTCACTATCTCAATATGTGTGACAATAATAAAACTCAAATGTGTTGAATAGAATTGAACACAGACAGGTCAAAATGAATGAAGCCGGAGGTATAATTCAGTGTAGTGTATTGAAAATTACATTGTGCATTTTGTCCACTTGAGGCTAGCATACAGATTTGTACCAGCAGAAGGAGTCTGCTAGAAAGATTTAATAAAGATTCATGTTTAACAGCTCACGCAGTTCCAATTCTAAATATCACTGTCAAGTATGCAACTATTTCTGCTCCCAGGAATTTCAAACCCAGCATGAGGAAGGGTCACCGGACCCGAAACATTAACTCTGATCTTTTCTTCACAGATGCTGCCAGACCTGCTGAGCTTTTCCAGCAGCTTCTGTTTTTGTTCATGAAAAATGGGGATGTGCTAGCCTTTGTTACTGACCCAACTACATTGGTATAACACGAAGAGCCCTTTAATACTACAATAGAAATGGGATAGGTTGGAGACAGAGTAGAGTGGTGGATGGGTATGGGCATTGAGTGAACTAGAAGGGGGCAGGATGAAGGCCAAAAATAATGTGAAGGACTCGTTAATTTCAACAAAAGAAGGCAGTCCAGTCTGAACACGACACAGGTAGCCAACCACTTGTCTTGCAAGCTGACCTGGTTCTGCATCAGTTCTGAGTGTCTGATATAGAGCAGACACGCAGCCTACCCCCACCACATTTTATATGGTTACAACCAAGTATGTCTCAGCTCTCCCAGTCCTTCTTCTGACTTGTATTCAAGCCATGGGAAAGACAATCATGTTTTATTTGTCCTTCTGTTCTCCTTCTACAGTTCGTCTGGAGCAAAAGGTTGATGAGAAACAGAGGCAGTATACAATAGAGGCTGACACCTACCTTCCACGCATAGTGGGATGCCAGATCATTGGCTTTGTGCAGCAAAGAGGATCCACTTGGTCCTCCACACTACGAGGAAAATATGGCCTCTTTGGTAAGATGATGGCAGCAAATGGTAATGTATGCAAGTCAAACAGCAGGCATTGAACAACAAGTACATAAGGGTAGAGCAGGCCAGGCAGCATCAGAGGAGCAGGAAGGGTCGGGACCCTTCTTCCGAAGATACAAAGGTTTGAAAGTGCTTACTGACAGATTCGGGAACAGCTTGTTGTTCTTCAGAAGGGTCCCAACCCGAAACGCCAGTATTCCTGCTCCTCTGATATTGCCTGGCCTGCTGTGTTCCTCCAGCTCCATACTGTGTTATCTCTGACTCCAGCATCTGCAGTCCTTGATATCTCAAGTACATAAGGGAGTTGCATTGCATGTTATTGTGCATGTGTGATTAGCACCTGAGATAGCTCCTCATTCAGGGCTGATTTCATTGCTCAAAATCAGCAGGTCTAGTGGGTCTGTCTTCTCCCCTGTCCTTATTTCCAATGGTTGGGCTGTAGATTTCCATTGTATTGGTTTCATCCCTGGACAGAATACTGCATTGGGTTTCCATTGCATTGCAAGGTGGCTGACCAGGAAACTCTCCTGCTCTTTCCACATGCCATCAAGCATATGGGAAGGATTTGCAGACTGATAATCAAGCTGTTCAGCCAGATCGCCAACACGCCTTCAATGACCATCAAGTCCTGGAGTGGAACTTGAACCTGCAGCTTCTGCCTAAGAGGTGGGATCACTACCACCATTTGACAAGACCTCTATCTCATCTGCCAGAAATCTCAGTCTATTATCAACAAATTGAGGCCTATAAATCTACTTAAATTGTACTCTGCTAGCAAATGTGCAAAGATCAGAAACATCCGATTATACTGTTGATCAATGGATTGATAAATCTTCATTAGGTTTTTCAAAGGATGGAAATATTTTAAACTTGGGCTTTGAAAGTTGGACTACAGAATCAGACCTTGATACAGCACAAAAGGACGCCATTCAGCCCATCCTGCCTGAACCATAGCTTTGAAAGAGCTATAAATTAGTTCCACTCCACTGCTGTTTCCCCATAATCCTGTCAGTTTTCTCCAATGACTGGGCACGGTCAGGAAAGAGAGATCACATCCAGAATGAAGCACCATATAAACGACTATTAGTTTGGGGAATTTGGGAACAGAAGGGAAGAGGTGCTTTTTGCTTGTTTTTGATTTTGGCTCACAGTTTGTGTTTCTAACATAATAAGTTGAAACCCAGGATCAGGGGCCCAGCACAAAAGAGTGACATTTCTGGTAAACCGTATGTTCATTGGTTGGTGATAGCTACTAATTTGTCCATCTATTATAGGTTACTTTCAGACTGAAGATTAAGAGGGAAATATTTACAGGTTATAGACTAAAAGGCCGGTAGGAACTTTTTAAAAATCAGATTAAGCACAAAGTAAGTAAAAGAGAGATGTAAGGTTGAGCAATGTGTTGTACCTGCATGATGTAGGAGATGCTGGACCCCATTGTGGCTCATAATGACCATGTCTGCAGCAAGTGTTCATTGCTTGAGGAACTCCGGCTCTTAATTGATGAGCTGGAATTTCAGCTTTGAACAATGTGACGCTTGAGGGAGGTGGGAGAATTACCTGGATGCTGTGTTTCAGGAGGCAGTCACACCCGTTAGATTAACTACCTCGAATTCAGACAGTGGTCAGGAACAGGAGGGTGTGACTATGAGTGAAGCAGGTAGAGGGGTCCAACAGGTAGTGTGAAGGAGGCTTAGCCCTCAAATTTGTTTAGCAGGTTTGAGATTCTTGCTCCCTGTGTGGATGAGAGCAGGAGCTAAGGGAGGATGACATGCTGGCCTTCATAGTGAGAGGATTTGAGTATCGGAGTAAGGATGTCTTGCTGCAGTTATACAGGGTCTTGGTGAAGCCACACCTTGAGTATTGTGGGCAGTTTTGGTCTCCTAGTGTGAGGAAGCACATTCTTGCTATTGAGGGAGTCCAGAGAAGGTCCACCAGACTGATCCCCGGGAAGGCAGGACTGACATGAGGAAAGACTGGATCGACTGGGCTTGTATTCACTGGAATTTAGAAGAATGAGGTGGGATCTCATAGAAACATATAAAATCCTGATGGGACTGGACAAGCTGGATGTGGAAAGAATGTTCCCAATGTTGGGAAAGTCCAGAACTAGGGGTCACAGTCAAAGACTAAGGGGTAAACAATTCAGGAGTGAGATAAGAAAGAATTTCTTCACTCAGAGAGTTGTGAACCTGTGGAATTTTCTCCCACAGGAAGCTGTTGGGGCCAGTTCATTAGATATATTCAAGAAGGAGCTGGACGTGGCCCTTGTGGCTAAAGGGATCATGAGTATGGAGAGAAAGCAGGAATGGGATACTGAGATTGTATGATCAGCCATGATGATATTGAATGGTGTAAAAGCTTGAAGAGCCAAATGGCCTACTTCTGTACCTATTTTCTATGTTCCTATGAGCAAACAGACCAAAGCACGGTGGTAAAGGGAGCCATTCAAGAGGGGGGAGAATAGAGAAATGTAGTTGCAACCGGGGATAGTATAGTCACGGGAACAATCACTGCTCTGTGTGCCAGGATTGAGAGTCCCGAAGGCTGTGTTGCCTGCCTGGTGCCCAGGTTCAGGTCTCACCTGAGAACATGGAGTGGGAGAGATCCAGTTTTCATAGTCCACGTAGGTACCAGTGATATAGATAGAAGAAGGAAACAGGTTCTGCTGAGGGAATACAAGCAGCTAGGGGCTAAATTATGAAACAGAACTAAAAAGGTATTAATCTCTA